AATTAATTGTTGAAGTTTGTGCATTTTTATCCGATTTTAAAGTGGTCGGACACTTTTGACCGGGGAGTGTACATGTATTTACAGCTAATTATAATACAAAAGAACTGCATTATTGCAATTCTTGCAGATTTTTTTTGTTACACTAATCAAATATCTGCAAAGAACTGCTGCATTATCGTTATTGGAAATTTTCAACTAATTTGATCAAAAGATCAATATATTTACAGATCTCAGTCATACATGTATACTTTTACTGATGATATGTCAATATGTAAGTTGAATAAATTGTTCCCTGATCATTCTCTGTAATTACTCTTTTATATTCGTTTTCCTTTCTTTTTTTCTTCTTGTAGAGGTGTTTGTTAATTATACGGAAGGATTTTGCCATTTGTCTGATCCATTTTAGTGCAGCTGCTGATAAGCCAGCACGAAATTCTTCAGTGTCCAAGAATTGGTAAATGTTGTTAAATATGATAAGATCCATTGTTCTTTTTCCTTTGTCTTCATTATATCGAGTCTAGGTATTAATCGAATTTATATAGTGATCAGACTTGAATAATTATATGATTGTCGATGGATGATGAATTGTGTTTTGTTCAAATTTTATGTTTTATTTCTGTATCTTTTCTTGTTTGTTATTTTTTCTCATTTTGTATTCTTTGGTTTTCTTTTTTATTTTCATCACGTTCTTTGTGTTTTGAATTATTTTTTGTTTGCAATTATCTGAGATGATATTATTTTTGCACGATTAGTTTAATATTAGATTTTGTGTTTGATGGTGTGTTGATCATGTTGCTGAAAATCAAAGCCCTTTTTACCCCTTTCCGTTTTCCCCAATACTTCCTGTTTCCTACTAACTGATAATTTTCTGTTGTAGGATTGGTAGAATCACCAATTGCACGATACAATCCACTTTTTCAGATTGTAATCTCCTGATCAATTTCGTTTTTTATTAAGAGTTTTAAATTTTCATGTAACCTGCATCAATAACATCTTTTATGTTGAATCTTTGTGCTGTCAGCGACGACTGGTCCATAATGCATCTCACACTGACCAGTGATATTTTTACAGCAATGTCCAGATTAATAGATCCTAAGCGGTTTGGCAATAAGATGGTTTTAATTGGCAAGTAAGATCCCAATTGGTGTCATCTGAATAAGCTTTTGTTAATGCCGCCACTTTTTATCATCTATATAGACTTGCAGCTGTTCTTTTTCGCTTTTCACCGGAATTCTAGAGAGTGGTCCACGTTTGAGTGTTTGCGGCTGGGTTTGTGAATTATTTTATAGTGATACATTTGCAACATATCAATCCAACAAACGGTTCTAGGTGTTGACTTTGTGGATCGGAGAACTTCATCTATTGTGGAATGGTCACTTATTATTTCGAAGGGCTGTCCATGTAGGTACTGGTGAAATTGTTGAACTGCCCAAATCACCGCGAGGCTGTAATACTGTAGTTCTTCTTCATCAGTTTGGTACTTCGGCTTGCGAAGACAATTACTCGTTCACGGTTCTCTTGATCACGCTGGGATAGTATAACGTCCAACCCAATAGTGAATGCGTCCATGAACAAGGTGAACGCCTTTGAAAAGTTGAAGTGTATCAGAATCTGCGCTGTGATAAGTCTTTCTTTTAACTCTTCGAAAGCGTGCTGCTGTTTGACTAATATATTTTTTACTAGATCATGTAATGGTGCAGCTATTTTCGTGAATGGTTAATGAATCGCTGATAGTAGCTGGCCAATCTGATAAATTCTCGTAGTTCAGTGACGTTTCTAGGAATTAAAAAGTATCTTCACCTTCTACACCTTGATTTTGTCTGGTACGATTCACTTGACATTAATCTTGTATCCCAAAAATAATAATTCTTTCTGACCAAAGAAACATTTATCAGAATTCAATTTTAAGCAAGCAGCTCAGAGCTGCTTGAAGACCTTCCGGAGGTGGACTAGGTATTCATCAAAGATCCCGGAATAGACTTTATATCGTCCAAGAACACCTCTAAAAACTGTTGATAATAGACGGAGAAGAGTATTCATCATGCATTGAAACGTGACAGGAAAGCCAAAGATTATAGCATTAGATTCGAATAGCCCGTGCTTGGTTGCAAACATCATCTTTTCCCAATCCTATACTCTATTTTTATATTGAGGTATCGTCAATTTTTACTGTAAAGACATTTTTATCTTTGAACTCCCTGGGTTCTTCAAACTCGTATTTCTCAACGTATTCTTCCATTTTCCTCTTTGATGTATGTATCTTTACTGTATGTATTCAGGTGTCGGCAAAGGGTTTTTCTTGTCTCACAGAAAGTTGATAGGTTCGTCCGTTATTTTCAATCTGGATATAGTTTTCTTGTAGGTTTACGATCATCCATTTGTTCTAAACCAGTAATTCTCACGAGAATCAAGTATCAATTGTTCTCCAAAACAATCACATCCATCAGAAATATATAGAGATACAAATTGATAGATAGGTCAGTGATTTCTTCCAACATCATTTTTCTTTCATCACTTATACTTTTCATGGAAATTTTTGACTGCCGATTGATGATCTATCCGGTATCATCTAGGAATTCCTTAGTGATGATATATCTCGAGGTACCCGTATTCGTGATATAATAAACGTTGTCAGTATTCTCCATTTTATCTGCTGATTCTTGACTTGCGTAAGAGGTGACCTCCATTTGCTGGGTAGTATCCTCCTCTCCTACGGCAGAACTTCACCCTTCCTCAAGCTCCAAAATTTCTTCGTCAGAGTCTTCAAAGTACATGAAATTATTCCCTGCTTGACCAATAAAGATTCTGATAGAATCGTTGATATCATCATCCGAATCCTCTTTTAGTTTTAATGAGCTGGTTTCTTCAAACTCATTATGAGTTTTCGTGATGACCAGCATTACCGTAGCTTTCTGGTGATTTTCTTGATAGGATGAGGTCAGTTTATCTCGTTAATTTTCTCAGTAGATTCATGTTTCTTTGTTGGTTTTCTTGATTTTTATAACAGTTTCTGGATCATATGTATAACACGTTGATTGATAATTGATCTCACGTTTTTTTTTTGCCCATCATTTTGTTTATCATTCTTGATTCTTAGTATCTGGGATCTCTTTATAAGCTTACCTGACTTCAATGTTCCCTAAGATTTTCAATTTCTGTATTAGACGAGGATTGTATGTTGGGATTTCGGACTTTCTTCGTCAAGGTTAGGAATTGGACCGTTTCTAAAGCCTCGTCCAAGTCTGTTACTTGCATAACGATCAAATATAGTCAGATCTTTTCCCTGAGATCTTGTACAATCTCTTGTATCAATTGCTCTTTTGATAGTAATTCTCCTGGATCAATTTGATTCCAGAGGTCTACCATAGTCGCAAAATATTCTTCAGATGATTCATTATTTTGTTGCTTCCACCTATCTAACTCCTGTTCCAATATAGCTTCCTAATAGTGGTGCAAAATTTGCGACGAAGTTAGATACAAATGAGACAGCATTTCCAGTTGGAGATCTTCATGATTAGCTCTCATTATCGTTTCCAAAATCAATTTTGTTCGAGTTTCTTCAGGCAAGATGCTGTGATCTGAACTTTCTCAATGTACTAATGTTATTCATTCTGCAGGTGGCTTCTAAATCTTTTCAACCACCTTATGGGAGCGCTTTCTTCTTCAGCATCAAAGATCAGGAACTTCACATAATGGGATTCTTTTCTCTTTTGAGTTAAAAAATGACATCCACCTACTTAATGAAAATTGAAAAGAGAAGATTTTGACATGCATGAAAATCATAAATACCATTCAAACTACAGAAATACTTGGACGTGATTTTTATAATGATATGTTACTTATTAATAGATATAATAAACAGAAAAAGTGAATACTTATCACGTTCAAAAAAATCACCGGCTCTATGAAAAGGATTTATTTATACGTGAAGCCAACAAAAAACAACATGTATCACTACATGAAAAAGTAGGTCTCGTTTGTAGTTTATCAATCATCACAATTTATTTCACAACTCTGGACTTAACTCATGTATTATAGCAAAGAAATCCTATCTCAGAAACACATATATATGCTCATATTAAATGGTCTAAAGAAAATAAATATAAATCAGATTATGATTGATCGAAAATAATTTTCTCTGATGAAACCAAGTGTGGAAATTGCAAAGTAGTCACAGCAATCAAGAGTTTAGCAGCATCCTGAAGTTTAACATTAATTGTTTGTCTCCTACCTTTAAACATAGACAAAAACCTGTAACAGTTTGGTGATGTTTCATGAAAAAATTAAAAGGATCATTAATTTTTTGTGATAAATATAAAAAAATGATGAAAAAATAATTGCAAATACTTACTTTGAGATCTTAAAAACTCAAGTATTTCCATTCTAGAACGTAATTAAGGAATTAACTGGAAGTCAATGCATCATTTCATACTACGGGAAAAATTAAGGATTGGTTTACGGAAAATAAAATTGTGATTATTAATTGGCTGGCGAATTCTCCAGACCTGAATTCAACAGAGAATATTTGGAAGATATTAAAGGATAATATGAAAACTTTCTGGCAATTGTGGGTGTATTTATATCACTCTAATCCAATCATTGGGATACCATAAGTCTCAAACATAAGAAATACCAGAGGATCACCATTCCAAATTCATAGGTCTCAAAAATAGATTTCTTATTTTTGATCATATACGGTACGTTGGCTATTATATCCATAACGTCATCACAAAAAAAGAATAATTTAGAAGTATTGAAAATCTGTTGAGCTATCGATTATGTGATAAATACGAAATATCGGAGTTCTATTTCATTTTGGATAACTAAGAAATCCGTTAGTAATAAAGTTATCTTTGATTATAATAGTTTCCAAACATAGATAAAAGGATAAAAGTCATAGGCTTTGATTATATTCATGACTCATGATCAAATCATTACCTATGGTCAGTACATGTATGTGGAAATTCAGACACGTGTCATGTTGGCTTAATAGCCTTGGATGATAATCGAGAATAAATATCAACCCAACAAGGTTCATTTTAGAATGGAATGATGTGTCAGCATTTATAAAGAAAACATTTATTTACATCGGTTATTTTAATAGTCAACAATTTAATTAAAGCGATTACGACTGCATGGAAAGCATTTTTATGAATATTTAGAAGAATGCGTTCACAGACTAAAGCCAGCTCACTCTACATTCAGAAAATGTGTGCACTTATATTTAGATATATAACTCAATGACTTAATGCTTCAAATTAAAATTTTTGATCAATAATGAGTGGATAACTTACGGAACTTGATTAATCAATGCTTTTTTGTCGTAAGATATTGATCAATATGCTACCTGCAACTGAAAACGTCGTGCTAGAGAGCATTACACTATTATTAGCTATTGTACTTATCTCAATATCACCACAGAGATCTGATAGTTGACGATTCGCAAATATGTTTTTTCCGTGATATTTAGAATCGAATAATATTGAAAACATCGATCTGGTGCTTCTATCATTTATCATAAATTATTTAATGTGCTTGTTATCAACTCTAACATCCAGCGTAGATTCGTCGCATACCCATTGTCCGATATTTAGTTTCATACTGTATGTGATAAGAGCATTTCGTATATCAGTTCAGTTGCTGCTTTAATATTGTTTATTATTATTGATAACAAAAGCGATTCATTTACGAGTAGCTAGCTAATTTAAATATTTTCGCGTGCACGATATATAAATGTCATGCTATGGTGTTAGACAGCAGAAAATTCTTTATTAATAATGATCATTGAAAGACACGTCACAAAAAATTTATGATCTTTATTAATAATTAACTCACAAGTCAAGTTTAGAAAATAAGGAGAAAACATATTTAATGAGAGTGAGCGTCTTTAACTTTTCAATCATTCAGCACTTTTACCAGGCATTCAGAACTGGACACGTTGCGTTAGACATTCTGTTGGGCATACTTTGCTTGAAACTCTGCGGGCTGGGAACGCTCTGGGCATGCTCTGCTTGATATACGGATAGCTGCTGATATGGGCTGGGCACTAAAAATAGCGTTATATTATTTTTATTATTTTCAAATTTTATATATAAAATTAATTATATAATTAATTTTAATTATTAATTTATATAATATTATTAATATATTTAAGTCAGATTAATTATAAATATTATTAAAAAATAATTTACTAATAAATATTTTAAAAGATTTCTATATTTGAAAATTTTTATTATTTTAATACTTAATTAGAATTGGTTCTTGGATCAGTTCAAAATATTTTTCAAATATCTATATAATTAAATTAATAATAATTAAACAAAGTTATCAAACTGTTCAAGAGTTAATCTTATAATTAATATATCTAAAATTATTTTTAATATCTTCTTTATAATTATAATAAGAAAGTATTATTATACTGATTTATTATAAATAATATATAATTATTTCTCTTTATATTTATATTTCTTAAATATATTAAATAATATAATTATATAGAAATATATTTATATGAAAAAGTTAAGATTTTATTATTAAAACTTTTTATTTAGCATATAAAATTTAATAAGATATTCACTATATAAATTACACTCAATATAAAATAGAATTATCAAAAGATTTATTGCATAATAAATTATTTTGAATATAAATAATCATTATATTATAGAAATATTAAATTAAATTTAGAAATAAATAAGTACTATAATAAATTTTTTTGCCTATTTTTTTATTTTTATTTTTATAGTATTAATTTGTTCTTTTTTCTTGTATTCTTTTATTTTTTATTTTATATATTTACTTCTTTTTTTAAATTATTATCTCTTTTCTGATATTTTTCTTTATTGATAAGAAATTATGTAAATGAAAATATTTTTCTTTTTTAGAATAGATTCTGTTAATTTTTTAAAGAATTTCAGTTTGTAAAGTATAAAAAACTGCATATTTAAAAGCTGAATATAGAAAATATATATCAGAATTTTTATAAGTATCTAATTTATTTTTTATTACTATAAACTGAATTTTTAGTATTTTATTTTAATTTCTAATTTTCTTTTTCTAATAGAATAATATTTAAATAAGCAAAATAATAATTTGAATTATTAAATTAAAGCATAATAAAATAATTAAAATAGTATAAAAAGTTAATTTAAATTATTTTTTATTTAATATAAAAAAATTATAAAGATTAATTAAAATTTAAAAATGATTTTTATTAAAAGTAATTATTAATTTTGTATTAATATATCAATCTTTTTGTATCAAATTATATTAATTAAAGTTTTATAAAAATATTATATAAAAAAATTATTTTAAATATATTTTTTTATTATATAATAAAAATTTAATTACTTTTATTAAAATTTTTTATAATCTAATAAATATATTAATTTAAGAATAATAAATAAAATAAAATAACTTATTAAATTATTTTTTATTAATTTTATTTGATCTTAAAAATAATTAAATTTTTTTATTAATTATAAATAGATTTATATCTTAAATAAATGTTAATAGATTATTTTTTCAAAATAAAATTTTAATACTATCATATTTAATTAAGTTATTAGATATTAAAATTTATTTAAATATAAAAATTTTTATTATATATCTTTTATAAAAAAATTT